AAAGTGGTTTTGTGTGTTAAAGTGTAGTCATCGGAAAGGGCAGCTTCTTCCTGTAGTGTTTCAACTTTCTTTTCATCCAAGTAAGTTTTGAGTTCGTCACATGCACAACGTTTAAATTCATCAATTAGACATAATTGTCTTAGTTTGTCGAAATATGCCAGTAAGAACAGAATTACAACATCAATCAAAATAAACCTTCTTTTCGTGGGCAAATTCTATTTAAGTTTGATTATCTTGTTTGCGATAACCTCGAAACTTTAGAGAATAGACGGGAATTTTGCAATACAGATTTAACAGTATAAGTTATGCACATTTCCAAATATAGATTTAACTTAAACAAATATCGATATTAAAATAGATATATAATAGTAAATCCGTCCCACTGTTTACTGATGTCTTCCCATTCCCAACATAATATGCCCTCGTGAGCATAAGGAATCTCATTGTGTCCTATTCATATTTGTTTTAGGGGTTGTAGGGAGTAACTGTTTGCCATGAGCATCGTCTTGTGCTATTATTCATCCATTGGATAATTGGTTTCAAACTCATCCCTCTAATCTGAGCAGCTTTCAGTTGGGTATTGGACCACATCAGTTCTTCATCATCACTGGTGGATGCCATTTGGGCTATACTTAGTTGTATTTTAGTTTGGTTGTTTCTTCTATTCTGTGCTTCCCTTTTCTCACAGTGTTTATGATATTCATTTAAACATGATCTTTGGGATGATGAATAAACACTTCCATGGTTCCACCCAAGGCAGTGCATGAAGTTAAAGTTATATTCCTGGAGTTTTTGTAGTCAACTGGTTATTGAACCCTCTGGATTACAAAATTTCACCATATACGTGAGTGCTGCATGACCTGTCTAAGTGTAAAGTGTAGTTATTTAGAATAATTTTAGGTCTAAGGATGTTTTCAAGTCTTTAAGAGCTGGGGGGGGGTCTTTAGCTATAAATAAGCTTTCTAATATACGAAATTCAAGGTCTGAAGATTCTGACAGAGAAATCGTTAAATGAAATATTGTGATCTGTGGTTTCAACACGTGAACGAATAGCTGAGTACATGAGTTTTGGGTTTAAGTAATGGACTACCATTCCTATTTATTACTCCTAAATGTTCATGAACTCTTGTTTCTTAGGTGGCATTTTGTGTTGCCAATATACTTACCTTCTAGTTGCTAGACTTGTACTTAAGCATAAGCAATGAACGTAAAAGTGTTAGTAATCGACCTTAATATTGGAAGAAGTGTTTAATTTGGAGTCTATATCTACATGTTAGTCTGGGCTGAATTTGAGAGTGTAAAGTTTTTACTAAGGAGGACAATGGTTTTGTTTTTCAATTTGTAAGGTTTGTGAGCCCATAATAGGAAGGCAGATAATGAGGGGAAATAGCTGGTGATTGAAATTTGTTGCTTGACATTTGCGAGTAATGTCTGTTAGAAAGTCAGTTGAATAGCTACTGTTTGTGCAGAAGTGTAGTTTTTCTGTGTAAAATAGGATTGTAACGAATTTGTTGTTATATATTTATTTTAATATCAACGTTGTTTAGATTAAGATTATATTTAAATACATGCATAGCTTATAGTGTTAAATATGCATTGCGAAACTCCCGCCTATTCTCCAAAGCTGTAGAATATTCTCGAGAGTAAGAATCAAAAGTATATGTGAGTGTGTGTATACGTAAACGCTTTAATCAATATTGTTCGTAAGACTGAATTTTGTAAAAACTTTCCCACGGCTATAAATATAACCAACGCGCTGAAGAGTATCTGTTATTAGTTCACTATAATCAGTGTGCTATAAACTTCGGAAGTTATAACT